TTTTTACACAATTATCTGTACCTTCTACTCCTTACATTTTTTAAAAAGGTAAGAAGTCGAAAGTTGTTACTCCTATTTTATTCCGAGTTATTACTTTAAAAACATACTATCCTGATAAATTGTGTCTCCTGGATAGAGTGAATTTAATTGTGGTTGGATGAGAAGTATAAATATATACCATTCTGACACCGTATTATTTTGTACACAACCCATCACAGCTGCACACTATTAGAAAAWTTTTTTTTGAGAAGTCACCTCCCGATAAATGTCATTTTGCAAAATCTTACTGCTCACTTTTACTCAGTACTTTTACTTTTAATACTTAAGTAGATTTTGTGCCAGAAATTTACTTGATAAGTACAAAAAATATCAGATACTTTAAGACTTTTACTCAAGTAATACTTTTAGAGAAGACTTTAACTTTTAGCAAAGTATTTTTATGGTAAGATACTTGTACTTTCACTCAAGTATCACTTTGAGGTACTTTCTACAACACTGCTTGTTTCTATTATAAACTTTTGGTTGTCTGCTTTCCATAAAAACACACAAACGAAAACCAGCACACCTATCTGGTATTTTAGGATTCCTTTTTGAAATATGTGTGTTTTTAACTGCTGCAATCGGAAACTTTATAAGAAATAACACGTTTTTTTCCCTGATACCTYGGTGTAAATGTTGTTATCCAGAAGATCAGCTGTTGGCTGCAGCGATCTCACTGGCCTGAACAAAGACACAGTTGTGAGTGATGGAGTGGAGAAGCCCAGAGGAGTCGCAGTTCATCCTCAAGCAGAGTGAGTAGGGGTTGATTTTATGTCTAACAACAATATCTACTTAGTGAAATTAGCTWTACATATTTCAATGTGTAAAGCATATTTTTATTTAAAGGTGGGCTGATAAACTCAATCAACATTTCTGACATACCCCGGTAATATTTTTGGTACCACTTTACAATATGGCTCCCCTTATAGATGGCTTATAAATACTATATAGATAGGTTATTAATTTATCTGTAAACACTTCATTATTAAGTATTTATTATGCATTAATTAAGGACGAGAAAGAGACAAAACGGTCCGGTTTTTGGTCAAATAGTGAGCCAAATCTGTTCACGTACATTTTACATCTAAAGTGCATATTAAACATTTCACACTAGGTTACTGCCTTTACACAATAATGTATTGGAAACACATATTTTACATATAATATTGCACTGTATTATGCATATCCACATCTATCAAAGGGAACCTTCTTGACATTTATATACATTTATTAATCATTAATAAATAGTGTACCTACTGTAAATATGTGTTTCTAATTCATTATTGTKCTTACAAGTAAACCTARTGTGAAATGTTTAATAKAACACTTWACAATATGWACATGAACAGATTTGGCTCRCTATTTAGCAGGAAACCAGACARTTTTGTCTCTTTCTTATTCTTAATTAATGCATAATAAACACGTATTAATGATTTATAAAGTGGTTATAGATGAATTAATAACCTATCTATAAACTATTTACAAGCCATCTATAAGGGGAGCCTTATTGTAAAGTGGTACCATATTTTTTATAGAAAGAAACCAATCCTAGGGTGATTAAGAATCATAGAGTATATGAAAAATCGTATTTACATTTATATTTCTTATTAGATTTTTATATACTTGAAAGTGCACCAACTCATTACGGTGTCATTATATTGTAACAAAAAAAATAAACTTTCAATCTTTTTATTTTATTATGTATTTGGAAAAAAATAAAACATTGTACTTGTTGGTTCAAACTTAATACAAGAACATAAAGCTGATATTTGTGTTTTTCTTGTCTTATTTACCTYAAAGAAAGTTATTCTGGACAGATATAGGGCACCTTCCCGTGGTCGAATGTGTCACTYTGCAAGGGGCTGATCGGACTGTGATTGCAAGCACCAACCTTGTGTCACCCACCGGCCTGACTATCGATTTTGCCGACAATCGATTGTTCTGGTGCGATCAAAAGAGGGGCCTGATAGAGTCGGCTGCCTTGGACGGTTCGGATCGACGGATCCTGTTAGAGAACCATGTAGGTGAGGTTTGTGTGAAACGTAWACGTGCAAACTTTGAGAGCTGCAATGCACTTAAGTACAATAATAATAATAAAAACAGTACGTAACTGTGTTGTATGTGTAAATGAAGTTGTGTTAGGATGACGTTTAAAACAAATCAGGTGAAAAAAAACAGCTGAAACTGAACCAAGGATGTTTTGCACAAAACAAGAAATGCACGCTGGAAAGACAAATTAAAATGTTGTATACAGTTCTTTGGTAAATCCGTAAATTATTTATCAGCTGAATGA